CATATAAAAAAAAATGAAGAAAGCTTATATCTCGGTACCTATATCGCTAAAATAAATTTACAAAAAAATTGCATTTATATATACGGAGAATATAAATTACGACAAGTCTGCTTCCTTTGGACTCGGCTTCTTCTCTCGCACACGCAAAAGCGCCGACGTATCCGCCATATACGAACGAATACCTACCCAAGGGATCCGGGAAGATAAGAAGAGGGTCGAGAAAGAACGTCCAATGACTGAACCATGATCAAAGATAATTTCCGATCAAAGATTAAGGATTACTCCCGTGAGTCACGTGGCCCGTCTAGGAATCAAAGTCTGCCGAAATATAAAATGCATGAAGCGAGAATCCCAGGGGTGCAGAACGTGAAGCCCTCTCTGTCTCTCTCTCTCTCTCCCTCTCTCTCTCTCTCTCGCTGTTTATAAGTGTACATGAGCATGTGCAGGTTCAGAAACGACTCCCACCCACCCATTTAAAGGCAGATGGCATACGATCGTCGCGTACGCACGTGCGCGTGCATCTTGTGCATATATATTGCACGATATCGTAATAATAAAATAGTAAATAGACGACGTAAAGATGAAAAATATTTCCTGAATTGCGCATTACCATTAAAGTGCCGCGGTATACTTACCGAAGATTTTCCGTACGCTTACCTTCCCGTTTATAATTTAAAATTGTTCTCGACGAAAATGTCGAGAGACGCGACTACAGTTTTTCGAAATTCTAAGCAACTAAGAAGACATCCTTTTATTTTTTATTTTTCGCGAAAGAAGAATCTTTTTAAGAGGTAAATTGTAAATCGATAGACCTTATTCTTTCTCTGTTTGAAGTAGACTTGAACGGAATTTCAATTTGAATACGATCGCGTGCACGTGCTCGTTGATAACTCATTGTAAAATATAGCTACAGCATGTGACTTAATACGTGTTAAATAATAAACGATCGAAGTATCGAATCTCGGAACGATTCCTCGAACCATGAGAGGCAGTTTTTTCCCCTTTTTTTTCGTTTGCCGTACTATAACCGCAATTATCCACGCTGCGCGAAGGGATAACCTCCCCCTACGAGGTCGAACAATTGGTCGAAATGTAAATGGAAATTGTTCGTATTTTCGACACGTACGACGCATACCTCGCGCGGACATTAGATATTAGATTTAGCGCTCTTACAACTGTCGCCGTACATAATTAGGGGTCGCTTCCCCCGTCGAAACAGATGGCAACCCTTAGGCTACGAGATAATTTCGCGGGGAACAGTTGGGAAAGAGAGTATGGCCCCAGAACAACCCCTCTAATACAAAGAGAGAGAGAGAGAGAGAGGAGAGAAAAAGTAAAGGAAGGAGAAAAAAGGGGATGCAATAAGAAAAAAGAGGGGTAGAGGAAAGACAAATGTCCGGTAGGAATAGCGGAGGAGAGCCTCGGGATTTTCCGCCGAAGCGGAAAAACGCGCGCGAGGAAGCGCCGATAATATGACGATATGTTCGATTTTCGCGATCGTTACCAAAAATCTCCACGATAATTCATCGGAATGAGATAAGCGGCCAAGTGGATATCAGGGGCTCGTAATACACCGAGTGTATTACGCATTAAACGTAACGACACGGGCGCGGGGCAATCGGCAGCGAACTAAAGTGGTTTTATTCGTCGTTCCCTGCGATCAGATACGAGAGGACAATGAGAGGGAGGAGGGAGAAATCCACCGCGTATTCCCGATCGTCCGCACCCCTGTCCTCTATCCGTCTCTATCCGACACGCGCTTAGTACGGGGCTACCTAACTAAAGAGATTGCGCCGCTCGCTCGCAGGCAGTAACACGAGAATTGAATGACCGCTGTATAAAATTCGCATCCGCCGGCCACGAACGATAATGGCGCACTCTATACGTCCCGGTTTCAGAACCGGCCAATCTGTGCGACGCGTAGCTTTCCTAAAGACACAATTGGATTTGGAAATCATCGCGTTACTTACTACTAGCTTTATCGACAAAATGTGAGGTTGGACTATGGTAAACTATAAACCTATTTATTGGCTATACGGATTGTTTTTTATCTGAAATTAGAAATTATAGGAAAAAGATTTATGAATTCTAAGCACTCGTAATTCTGTAACCAAGATATATGAAACTGTACACATTGATCAATCGTTTTCCTGTACAAATTTAAGTATTAATGTTAACAAAGGGCGATGCGTTCTAATTTCAGGTAAAAAACAATTCGTATAACCAGTAAATAGATTTATAGTTTATCTAATTTTACATTTTGTCGAGATAAAACAGAAAGGAAACTTGTAGATTAGCGTAGGATTCCCTTAAGGGAATCCTAAACGCTGTCCTGTTTTATCGATAAAACATCAATTATTATTGCGCACGCTTTTCTTTTTATTGATTGAATAAAATAATAAATGCTTTTCCACGATTAAAGTACATGTAGAACTAAAGCGCGAGAACCTACCGATTTTATATTGAAAAATTAAAAATCTTTTTTCTTCTCTATTCAACCAATAAGAAGAAAGAGTGCGCAAAAATGATGTTTTATTAATAAAACAGGACGGCGTTTAGGATCCTCCAGCAAATCAGTCACACGATCAAAATTTATCAGAGCATATACTTCTCCGTTCTCTTATTATTTCAAGATTAAGATTACGGTTTTATATTCTCATAATTATTTTTAATGTATTTTTTAAATCTATATTATTTAACTCGTACAATAATAATAATCATTAGAATCAACTAGTTGCGTATTCTTCTGTTTTGCTGTGTATTTAATAGAACTTCACCAATAGCTGCTGCAAACAACAAACTGCTGCAGCAGCATGCTGCACGTAAAGTGGTACCTTAATGCGGATACATGGTTTTTTGGATAACGACCGCGCAATTTTGTTTAAGATTCCAAAGCGTATACAGATCTGAAAGAGAAACTTTATCTCAATATAACTTAATTAAGGTCACTAATCCAATAAGAATCGATTATTCTTCGTTTACTTTCAAATATAGATTTGAAAGGAAATTTAATTATATATAAATATATCGTGCATTGAAAGACTTAGATATTCCATCAAATATAGATAAAGTTTCTAGCGAAATATAGTGCAATTTATTGTCTCTAATGAAAGACTACTAAAAATATCTAACTCGCAAGAAACATTCGAGATGTTACGTCCCTATCTTTGAAATTATACGATTATATTCTGTGTAAATGTTAATGTGTATGCAGTTACACGCGATAATACATTTCTTACATAAATGCTCGTATATATATATATATATAGAAAAGCGGAACGGAAGCGAAGAAAAATGTGCTTCCCCGTGCACGCTACACCACGAGACGTGTAGCGTGATGTAAACGACACCGGGACCGGAAGGAAGGGGTATTAATTTGCATCTGCTTTCGTACACCGCCACACTTCCGAAAATTTTATTCGCCCCCTCTTCTCTCGCGATTTAATTGCGGTATACGCAAAATAATAGAGCAAAGGTAAGGGAGAGAGGGAAGACGACAGGGTAGGGGTTGAAGAAGGGGTTGAAAAGAAAAGTGTAGCGGAGCGCCGAGGGCTTAATACCCGTGTAAGTAGTAGCCACTGCATTACAGTGAGAGATTCATTTGCATGCACTTTTACATCCTTCCGTCCTCAAAAAATATTTATCGCCCGAGGTTTCGCCGTGACGCCCCGCTTATGAATTATGCATGTGGAGCACGCGCGCTGAGGACGTAGCTCATTCCTAGCGCAATTTCGCCATTGAAGCGTAATTTCAGCAAGCTCGGTATTAGAAGCCCTCTCTCCCTCGAGCAGCTTTTTCGTGATAGCGCTTACGAGAAAGGGAGAGAGAGAACGAAAGGACGTGTCATTCGGAACGCGCGCGACGATCATCATCTCAATTGCTCAAAGAGAGGGACGAGTACATAATGCGTATATATTAACTTTATGCCGCGTTATATATATATATATGTGTGTGTACGAATAAGTAATATATGTCATTTGTATATATTGTGTTATATTATTATGTATCTTTTTTTGCGCTTTTTCCACTTGACAACATACTAAATAATTTTTTAAGTATCTTTGAACTCTATAAATTACATTCTTAACATTTTTTATATAGTTTATTGCATATTACATTTTTAGAGATTTTTAAAATTGAACAAATAGAGTATATAGCAAAGCAAGAAGATGTTAAAGTAATATATGATTATACGGTGACATTTTTTACCGTGTATATTAAATAAAATACATTAAGTTTCTCGATATATTTTAATATGGAAAATTTAAAATTAAACGTTATACTATATAATTTTATCAAAGACAATCTCTAAAGGCATGTTTTGCTCACATCGATCACTCAGCTTAAATTGGATAATTCGCCATATATACGTAACGCAACAATGCTATAACTATGCCGATACCATTGTCAGCATCAGATTTAACGTGATCAAAATTAAATCCGAGATTATGTGCGGCTTGGATAGTATGCGTTTAAGTCACCATGCAAACAAACACGGGAGACATCAGCGGGATGTATGGTGGATTTGTAGTTTATATTTAGATTGTCACAAACTTGCCCAATGTATGTACTGTTTATAATTAATGCGGCAAAATCAAAGCGTTATTCAGTAAAGCTAATAATAATAATAATAATAATAATAATATACATATATATAGTTTTATATCTTATCACAGATCTTTATAATACATTTTAGCAGAAAAACTCGTTTATTAAAGTTAATGCAATTATATTTTCTGAAAATATATCTGGTGTTAGATTGTATCTTTTTATAAATATATAAAAATAATAATAATAATAATAAATATATATAAATTTGTTGAACACTATGAGGTTTTTGGAAACCACATTGCGATTGAATTATTTTTAATAAAATGTTTTCTTCAATTATTACGGAACGTAACGAATAATTATAAATATAATAGCGATTCGGTGAATTAGAAATTAGTCACGTTTCGCTTTGCAAAAATAATATCTCAATGAGAGAAATTGAACATTACCAGTGGTGTAGGCTGCGAATGTTGACCTGCCATTCTGCAGTAGAAGACAAGCGAAAACAAAGACCGCCACCATCCTCGATAGAAAATTAACGGTCATCCCTTTCCTCCTTCCAGCATGTAGCTGCATCACCGATATCCGATAAACAAATCCTATGTCACGAATGTAAGATCCGCATTCGCATATCTATCGGTTCACCCCAATAAAGTCTCTCTCGACCCACTCGCAACTATCTCAAAGACACTCTTCTCCTTCGCTCCGACTCCCTCGGGAACGAGTGTTTTTTGCAGCACTACTCGCTGCCCTCACCTACGCGATCTCTCATTCACGTGGAGCTTATGTCAGGATTTTGTAAAAAATTATGTCCGTCCAGTGCATCCTAAACGTCAACGTGTCCCCGATAAAAAAAAAAAAAACTAGTAAAACGTCGCGAAAAGTGCTCTCACTTTCGAAAAGCTCGCAAGAAACTCCCTTCGATTCTGTAGGATATGCTGTCCACGTTTAGGGATGAAACACACCTGACATACAACCGCGACTTGGAAAAGCTTCACGTATCGGAGTACGAAACGGCGAGCGCTCCCGAACAAGCGCGCGCTTGGGACGCCCGGCGTCGACTGGCGTGTTCGTAGAGGGAGACCACAGTGGTGCGGCACACACGCCGCGCCGTCCCAGCATCACGGCGCAGATCTCAGCCACCCCCGTACACAAGAGCATCTCACCCTTTCCCCGAATCAGGCCAATCGGCGCGCACGAGTCGCCGCCCATCGCATCGCAGGGGCGGCACCGCTCCCGAATTAAGATTTTCGACTTTTCTTAGTCCAGGGGGGTAGTTCACCCCCCGACCTCCCCCTCACGAACCCCCTTCTCGCGCCAGCTATCTGTCTATTCTCCCTTGCTCCTCTCGCGCGCGCCACGTTCTCTCCCGGCGCCACGCATTGTCTCCTCATTCGAGAGACCGAGGAGACCTGTCCCTCTTCGCAATTATTGTATGTACACGCGGCTTGGGGGGTTTAAAAAGGAAAAACATTCTCTCCGCCTAGGGATAATTCATGTTCGCGCTGCAATAACGCGAATATCCGAATTCTGTGATATCTTTATATTTTATACCCAAAGAGTCGATTTCTCTAACGGCGTTACGAGTTTTTTTTCCGCTCGAAAAACTGGAAAAATCTAATTTTATTCCCGCGTTGCGATCTGGCAATTCTATTATATTTTTATATGTTATTGCTTGTAATGAGATTATAATTTGCTCTCTTTTTCGCCCTCTCTCACTCTATCGTGAATACATATAACATTCATGATCAAAATCATTTTACCAATCGCGCGAGTCGGTTAAAATTGAAAATAGCGCTCGTGAAATATTGGTATGCTACCTTATTATGATATGTATACGCATTAACGCGTAAATAAAATGTTCTATGGAAAAGCGAGATCGTAATATAAAAGTCATGAGTAGTGTATATGTTGTCATCGAACAAAAATTAGCCCATCTCTAACATATTATACAGGGTGTCCGGTAACTAACGGACCAATGATTAAGGGCGGCCAATTTTGGAGACGATTTTTCCTTAGCAAAAATGTTGAGAAGTCAATAATTTTCGAGTTATAAGCGATTGAAAAAAATGGGTTAATTTCAGGTAGAGTTTACTATAATAAAATTTTAATTTGAGACTCAGTTATAAAGATACATAATGACAAATATTGGAAAGTTGGAAAAAATGATGACCTTTTTCGACATTTTCGCTGAGAAAAAATCGTTCCCAAATTGACCAAAGAATCCATTTGTAAACGTTGGTCCGTTAGTTACCGGACATCTTGTATATACGTATATTAAAAAATAAGACCTACATATATATTCAATAACAAAATATATATTATACAAGAGACGTACATATATGTATACCATTTTATTATATAACATAACAAACATTATTCATTTCTGATGTTTTTGATGTATAAAAAAAATTTCAATTTAATTGCACAGACAGACGATAATTAATTTAAAGCAATTTCCACGAATTACAATTAAATTGCACACAGATAATTATCGAGAAGGCATATAAACAAGTATCTCTCTCAAAAGAAAAAAAAACGTGGAGTATATTTTACCTCGTCTTCCTTTTTGCTGGTACTCGTGATTTTTAAACAGGACTGTCACGGGAAAAGTTTATATGAAATATATAGCCTGGACGTATCAAATTCCTTTTATTGAATAATAACCGTAGCGCGCGCAAAAACACGGTATAATAGAAACATACAGTCCCACGTTTTACCGAAGAGCAACATCGCGGAACGAAACATACGATATACAAGACTGATGACTACGGTTGATGGTAGAATCATGTAGGATGCGGCCGCGCCGCCATTAGAATAATATCGCCCATTCTTTATCAAGAAGCAAGTCGGAGACGTGCCGTGCACTCATTTCGCGTGACATTTAATTTTCGTGAAAAATCGCCGGCGAGTTTGCTCACACGAAATAGAGCGTAAAACTACCGGAATGAGTTTGGACATACTCTTCCAGATTTCGTGATTTCGCGTCACTCGAAAATGTCCGGACGCGATATACATATATATTCCGCGAGCAAATAATGTATTTCGAAAACGGAAATATCCGCGAGAAGCTCAATCACTGATGTGAAAAATTATGTTTCGAAGGACCCTTTCATTCTTTAATGAAATAATTATAGAAAAAGTTATCAATTATGTCGTCTTGTGGCGGGCAAAAGGTAAGACAGAGCGAGCTTGAGAATAATTAGTTTGAAATGTAAAATTACACAATGAACAAACTTTATAGACTAATAAAATCGGTGAATTTTTATTTCTCGCAAATTCACGCTGTGTACGTGTGTGTCTCTCGAATAAAAATCTGTTTGAAGCGTATAGAACATATTCGAAAGAAGTAATTTAAATTCAAATTTTCTCGATTTTAATGTAATTTTAATGTTGACGCAAGATTGGATTCGGTAGTAACATTGCATAACATATGTAATAAGAGAAAAGTGCGTTTAAAAAATTTGAATTTTTGCGATAATCGGATAGACGGTGCTATCGTATTAAGCCGAATTGAATAATGAGTTTACAATAATATTGACGTTGACAATAATATTTTAATTATACAGTCCATGGAATATAATTTTTATTATCGCTTTTTATTCACAAAATGTGACTCGTATGCTTATTTTTCGACACAGTAATAAACAATGACAGTAGAAAATCGCGAAATAAATTATTTAATAAATATTAAGCGATCTAGAAATAGACGCGTAATTTTATTCCATTTGATACAAACGTGCTTTTTCCTTTTTAATAAAAGGCAGCCATTGCGAGAGTCGTATTAATATACATTCTCTTTTACGAAATTATATCAATTACGGCAGTAACTGTTCAGTTCGATCGCATATCATTTCCATGAAAATTTCAGATTAAACATAGCAATTACATTCGGCTCGTGATTATATATTTTGCCTTTATCGACATTATCTTCAATCGACGTAGGTGAATCGGTCACTTTGTCACTTTGACTATAATTTTCCGGTGTATGATATATTCTACGCATATATTCGTGCATTTGATTTCAATCGTTAGAAAATCGCTTATCATAGTCATGCGATTATAATAGTTGCATGACGATATATATATAATATATTTTAGGAAAATTTGACGTTTGATATCTCGCTTGTTCATTAATATACAAGCTCTCCATATATATGCTCTCTAGCTCTCTAGATCAATAGCACAAATATAAAAAAAAGTTGCGAAGCAAAATGAAATGATACGAGAGTTTATCTTTTTACAACATTGCACTTGTATACGTGCATGCAATATTACATTTCTTATTTAAATGCATTTCTATATTTTCAATAATTTTAAACATTTTTCTTGTCTCTACATGTTTTATATCAGAAATTTTACTAAAGCATATATTTTTCAATTTTAAAAAGTATCTCGAAAAAACCACAATTTTGCAGATACCAAAAACTGTGATATTGTGAAGAACGTACAAATATGAAATGGAATTTTGAGTGTATTAAATTAAACGTTGTATCCTTCATTACACATTTTCGTCACACGCGTCTGGATATATTCGTCGAAAAATTTTCTTAATAAACAACCCTGAAGAGAGAGAGAGAGAGAGAGAGAGCTGCGTCTAAAGTTCGAGAGCCGCCAACAAATAAAAGAAGCGAGGGATCAAGCGGATATCCGGAACGGAACGTAGACGTCTAAGAGATGGAGGAAGAGAGAGAAGCTTTCATTACCTTGATGTAAGTTTTAGGCGCGTCTAGGCTGATCCGCAGAACCACCTTTCTAAGAGCGGAAAGAAGATAAACCATCCCCGTCGTTATCAACAGTGTCGTTTCCTGTCTTACGGATCCATCCTTAAAAATCCCGCTTTCCGCCTTTCTCTCGCGTTCTTATCGCCATTATTAGTTATCTCATCGTGTTATTCCGCAAAACTGAGATTGACACGACCGATTATCCGGCCGTGAAATTTTCCTTAAGACCAATTAACCAACCCTACTATCGGCTCTCGCGTACTACGAGTTTAGCTACTTTCATCGTTAAGCAAAACTTCCGCGCTTACGCGAGAACTGCTGATATCTTCGTTAGAGTGTTACAAGGTCATGGAGGAGAGACTGCGCTAATATAATATCGCCTGGAATACGGAAAATCGCGAATACGGAGATCTTTCACGCGAGATATGTGGAACTTGGAGATTCGGTGATCGACCGAGCTTTTAATCTCAAATGCAATTATAATGAGAAATTATAGATAAGAAATTGTTCAATTCTCGTTATTAAAGAACGACACGTCGAGTCTCTCGATATTAAAGTAATGTACTATATTTTATTTCTCCGCTTTCTCGTAAATTATTCGCGTCACACGTGAAGAAAAAAAGCTCACGATGTAATTTATGCGATAATTGTCTCTTGTGCAATCTTGAGAATTCTTGCGGATAAAAATCTGCATACTCTGGAAAGATTCGGTATAAAACTATAAACGGTTTGCAGACGGGAAGTATTGAGCTTGAAGAAAAAGGGAAGAACGGGAAAGAAGAAAGAAAATGATGTGACAATCAGAGGCGAGTTTTTGCCCGGGACACATCTGGTCTCTTATTTTCATTTTCTCCGTCAAATGATTTCTTCCCTGCTTTCCTCCTAACTGAAAAACTCTGCTCGTACCATCTCTTCATCGCGAATACGTCGTCTTTTCCCAGTAACTTTCCTTATCAATTCGCATAAGATAGAATAATGTTTTCCCGCGTGGGAGAAACGAAGCGATTCTCAATTAGACAACAATTTTCAAAAGCGCAACCATTGTTCGCGCATTTGTTTCATACATTCATATACATATACATACGTGAATACGCGTTTCAACTCGATAATTTTTATCGAAAAATTGTAAAATCGAAAAAGCCAACAATTATATTTTTCGAGAATAACAAACGAAATTTCTTTATTGTATGAAAATACAATAAAATCCATCGGAATGATTGTGATATCGAAAATAGATGTGACATTTTATGGCAGACTGTATAAATCACAATCGTCAATATTTGATTTCGCTCGATTATTTCTTAGTTCAAGTGATTATCGCTTAATGTAACAATTCTAACAA